GTTGCTCGAGGCTTCAGTCAGCGAGAGGGAGTAGACTTCTTCCAGACCTTCTCCCCCACCCCGAAGATGACCACTCTTCGGGTGCTACTGCACGTTGCCGCTCAGCGTGACTACGAGCTTCACTCTCTTGACTTCAGCACAGCTTTCTTGCAGGGCAGCCTGCACGAGGAGATCTGGCTGCGCCGCCCTCTTGGCTTCACTGGGTCGTTCCCTCCTGGTACCCAGTGGAGCCTCCGGCGGCCAGTCTACGGTCTCCGCCAGGCGCCACGTGAGTGGCACGACACACTGAGGACTACACTTGCGGCTCTTGGGTTCGCGCCTTCTACTGCTGACCCGTCGCTGTTTCTGCGCACCGACACTTCGCTGCCGCCGTTCTACATCCTCGTGTACGTCGACGACTTGGTCTTTGCCACTGCTGACACAGAGGCTCTCGCCCTGGTGAAGTCGGAGCTGCAGAAGAGACACACGTGCACAGACCTGGGTGAACTGCGCAGCTACCTTGGCTTGCAGATCACCCGGGACAGAGCACGCCGCACCATCACACTGACTCAGTCACACATGGTGCAGCAGGTCCTTCAGCGCTTCGGCTTCACCTGGTCCTCGGCACAGGCCACTCCTCTGGCTACAGGTCACTCGCTCTCAGCTCCACCTTCGGACGAGTCCGTAGAGCAGAGTGGTCCTTACCCAGAGCTAGTTGGTTGTCTCATGTACCTGATGACTTGCACTCGTCCTGACCTCGCGTACCCTCTTGGCCTTCTGGCTCACTACGTGGCTCCTGGTCGGCACCGAAAGGTGCACATGGATGCTGCTAAGAGGGTACTGCGCTACTTGTGCAGTACATCAGGCATGGGACTCGTGCTTGGAGGGAGGAGCTCAGTTGTCCTCACTGGGCACTCAGACGCTTCTTGGGTTGACGACCAGGCTACTCAGCGGTCGTCACAGGGTTACACCTTCAGCCTTGGCTCTGGTTCAGTTTCTTGGCGTTCTACACGTTCGTCTTCAGTTCTCAGCTCCAGTTGTGAGGCTAAGATCTACGCCACAGCCATGGCTGCACAGGAGTTACGCTAGCTCACCTACTTGCTGACTGACTTGGGAGAGCGGCCTCGTTCTCCTCCAGTGCTGTACGTCGACAACAAGGCTACCATTGCCTTGTGTGCGGAGCACAGACTGGAGCACAGAATGAAGCACATCGCTCTGCGTTACTTCCTGGCTCGAGAGTTGCAGCAGCGTGGTCAGCTTCGTCTGCGTTACGTGGCCACTCGGGCCAACACTGCTGATATATTCACCAAGGCACTTCAGTCTGGTGATCATCAGCGTTTCTGCACTATGCTAGGGCTTGTGCCCACTTTTTCTCACTTGCTGTAGGCTTTGCTTGTACTGTGATATATATATGTATATATATATATACATACATATATACCTGCATGCTTGCTTTGCTAGGTAGAGATCATTGTGCTGTTTGTGTTGCATATATGCCTCTGCATGTGGACTGGCCTTGTGGCCCTTTGCTTGTGCTCAGAGTGTGTGGTGACGTTGTGATCCACCCTGAGCTTGCTTTGCCTTTCTTGACTGGTCTTGTGACCCCTTGCTCTCCCCCACTTTGCCTATGGGGGTGTGTCAAATGTTATATCTGCTACAGTTTGTTTAGGCTGTAGTGGGGTAGTTACTATGGGGTATAGTAAGTTTAGGGTTTCCTACTTGTACCCAACTCTTTCCTAGTGAAAACACACTTGTTCATTCTGACATGGGGAGAAGGTCAGGCAGAAGCATGGCATGTGCAAGTGAATGCGGTTGTCCGGCCGGTGGAGAAGTGTGGGGTGGAGGATGGAGGGGAGGAGGGGAGGAGGGGAGTTGAGACATGGCAAACACGGGTGCGAAGAGGGGAGTGAGGGTAGCTGGTAGGGAAGGTTTGACACTGTTCATGGAGAAAATGTAGCTTCTCGGTTCCAACAATGGACTCACAAGTCACAACAATGGATGCAGCATATCGTCTCACCAACACTGACGCTCCAAAACCCATTACCCCACCGCCCGTTAAACCCCATGCACATTCACCTGAAGCCCCTTCTCCGCTGCAGCAACACGGAGCAGAGCTGTGCCCTTTTTAACGCATGTGGCGAGTCAGTAGGGTAAGTCCTCTAGCCCTGGCTGGCAGAAGGGTGCACTGGCTCTTGATGTTGGACAGGTGGAGCAGTGGGAGCCATGCAGCCCAATCCTTTCCCACGGAAGAAGGGCACCAACTCCGAGTGGACTGGCCTATCAACGGAACTGCCCAGCACCATGCATCCCAGCACCATGCATCCCACCACCATGCATCCCAGCACCATGCATCCCAACACCATGCATCCCAGCACCATGCATCCCAGCACCATGCATCCCAGCACCATGCATCCCAGCACCATGCATCCCAGCACCATGCATCCCAGCAAAACGCATCCCAGCACCATGCATCCCAGACCCATGCCCCAACCCCGCGCAGCCCAGTTGTTTCTCAAAGAGGGCATCAACTCAGCATGAACCGGCCCGTCACCGCCCCTGACCCTGACTAAGCGACCTGATACTATGGTGACTGGCACCATGCAGGACCAATGTTTCCCGATGAAGGCATCAGCTCGGCATGACCAGCCTGTCAACGATGACAGGCCAGATGAAGCCCGAAAAAGGTCCCGAATCGTCACCCTTGGCGTGTGATTGCATCACCATACTTATCTAAACACGTGCCAGTGGTCTAGTGGTAGAATAGCAAGAACGAGCCTACTAAGGTGCACGACGCAATCAAACGAGAAGTTCATCGCATTGCCTTGGAGCTTGGGTTCTTTGCACAGATGGAAGACCAGCATCTCCTGCCTGGCCGCCGCACAGACATCACGTGCCGCGACACTAGCTCTGGTACCTCCTGGGCCTTGGATGTTTCTGTTGCTGATCCACAAAAGGGGTTTCCACACTCCTACGCAGCTACGGTGATTGGTTCAGCAGCAGCCACTCGTGAAAGTGAGAAGACCACCCACTATGCTGCAGCACTTCGTGACCGTCCAGACGTCAAACTGTTTCCCCTTGTCATCGAAACCTTCGGTTGCTTCGGCTCTTCGTTCAACAACTTCCTTCGCCAATGCAGCCGCAAAGGGGCTTCACAACTCCGCGACTTGAGTGGTGCCACAGATTCTCTTCCCCAGCTGTTTGAGACCAACTTCTACAAACGGATTTCTCTGGTCCATCAACGTGAGCAGGCTCGCACTGTTTGTCGTCGTGCACAAATTCGCTTTTCCGAGGGCGTCAACCACGCACCACCCAAGGTGACTTCTCTTTCAGCAGCTGACTTTGCCTACTTGGGAGGGGACCATTAAGACATCACAGAGGCCTATTTGTAGGCCTCGCAATAGGACTAACTTGCATGTCTTTCCTTACACTAGGTCTCTGGATTTGCCTTGTATTCATTGTGCATTTACTATAGTGTCAATAAAGAGGTAGTATAGCACCCTGCCAGGGCTGACTATTCAAAAAAATCCAGTCTGATGTTATGGGGGCTCTGAAAATTTTTAGTCTGAGGCATATTTCCCAGAGAATGGCTACTCTGATTTTTCAGGTTCCGCAAAAACACAAGTCTGAAGTACTCAGAACACACTACAACCACTGCAGTACAGTACTGCCACGAATGTAGCACGTGGGGCGCAGCGCTAACCGACTTTGCTGCGCCAGCACAGAGTTTCCCTCGCTGACACCGCGTAGCTGCAGCGATGGTCCCGCGTGAGTGAAAGAGCGAGCCAAGTTGGCAGATTTCTAAGGGAAAAGGGTGGCAAAAGTTGCCAAGGACAGATTCTGCGCGTGACAGCGCCATGAAGTGTGTTCGTACACTGGCAACATATGACGTAGCGGAATGTACGTAGAAATTACAGATCCGCATTTCAGGATCCGTACTCCCTGTAGTATGAAGACCCATTATCGGCTAAGTCAGTACTCTGAAAATCTCAGGATCCAAAACCAAGTAAGTCTGAGGCACTCATGTTTGAAAATCTTACAAGTCTGAAAAATCAGGATCCGTAGGAAAATACCCTGAGATTTCAGACAATCAGACTATTCTAGTCTGATAAAGTCAGCCCTGCACCCTGCCATGAGCCCAGTGCAGACCTGGGTTCGATTCCCGGCTGGCACAAGCGGTGTTTGCTGTTTGTGAGTGGTTCTTGTTTTCCAGACCAGAATTCGAGCTGTAACTCCAAACCTGCTGAACTTTTTCCCATCACCTTTTCCATTTCCGCCACGCGTTTCACCTTCCTCCCCATCCCCTCAATCAGCAGTGACCATCTCCTCTCTCCACCAGCCCATATACCAGAGCTGCTTCAAGTCAACCTCCGTTGACTTACACACAAGAGTGGAACCTCATCATCCTCTTCCCCAAATGCCACCCTCATCATCTCCTCCACCACCAGCTCATACACCAGACTCGCCCGGTCGTCCTCAATGCAGTACCCCAGCAGCTTCTTTTGGTTGGGGTGGTTCAGATTGCCCAGCACTAGGATCTCCGCCTGCACTGGGAGGAGAGGGAGAGGAGTGAGTGGGTATGTGCAGTGAGGGGGGAAAGGAGGGTGCGAGAGAGGAGCACAGTGGCGCAGTCTTCCGTCCCGTACCCAAGCAGCCACACCAGGTTGGGGTGACTCAGATCGCCAGATACTAGGATCTCAGCCTGTGAGACAGTAGATGCGCAGTGTGCAAGGAAGAAAGGAGCGAGAGGAGGCCGTGGGTGCCACACTTACCAATAGTGTTGTAACCAACCTTATATTCGATAAAAGGTTGAAAATAATAGGAAACGTTAAGACGTCTCAGAAGTTGCAACTAGGCACGAGCATGCGGCCCGACTTCGATTCCCGACGGGCCAAGCGGGTACCGGGTCGGGTCGGGTCGGGTCGGGTCCATCCGGAGCAGGCAGGCAGCCTGGCAGTCATCAAACGCCTTCATGCTTTCCGTGTGAAGCACCTCACCACCACCTCTCTCCTGCTGCCACGTACCATCTCTCCCAGCCACTCATCCACGTATCCGCGAAAAACGGTTCTGAAGCTGCCCTTGCTCAGCTTCAACGCAAAAGACGCATTGAGGTACCCTGCTGCTGGCTGCTGCAGCTCGCGGTACGAGAAGCGGCACACAGGAGGGCCCTTGCCCAGCTGCAGAGAGGTTAAGGGGGTAGGCACGTGAAGAGAGGGAGAGAAGGGGGGGGGAGAGTAAGTAGCTTGTGGACAGCTCTCCCAGCCACTCGTCCACCCGTCCGCGAAAAAGGGTTCTGAAGCTGCCCTTGATGCTTCTCAAGGGCGGACAAAGGCGCAACGGAGGGAGCCATCATGCAGGAGTAACATGCACCATGCATTGCAACTGTTGCGGTCTCGACACATCTCGCCAATAAGCAACACCTATCGCACCATGCACACGTCTTACTGTACCCTACCCACCACATCAAACTCCTCGCCCTCACACCCCCCCTGCCTCCGGCCCATCAATGTGAAACACCATGGATGGAAGCTGCTGAGACGCACAACAAGTTTCCTTGCTGTTGCAGGTTGTTTTTGAGAATTCTCACGAGCAACCTGCAACACTGCCACACAGTACTCCTTGCGTGCCCGCACTGCCTCCGCACCGTTGCACGCAATTTCAAGCACCTGCATACCCCTTGCCCTCGCACGCTCGCACACGCACTGTGTGCCTTTGCCTCTGTTCCAAGAAGCAAAATCAAACTCGTGCGAACTGGCTTTGACGAGGAGGTGTAAAGCACAAGCCATAAGCCACACTCCTCTCTTCCTTCACCTCCTACTGCTCCCTCTTCTCCCTTGTACCCTCTTCTGCTTCCTCCCCTATGGCTTGCCCCTCACGAAACCCTCCACTCTATTGCCTTTCTCGGTCTCCCTTTCTTTGGAGCAAGTGCTCACCACATGCAACTCCTCGACTCCGTATCCCGACCTCTTGCTCTTACTAGCCAGACAGGTGCTGTTGGCGTGGGGAGGGGAAGTGAAGGGCAAAGAGTAGGAACGCACAGCCGCACGAGGAGGGGGGGTGGAAAAGAGCTGAAGATTTTGTACTTGGAGCCCCCGACGATGCGGCCTGGCACTATGCTGACTGGCACCATGCAGGCCAGATGTTTCCCAATGAGGGCATCGGCTCGGCATGACCAGCCTGTCAACGATTTCAGGCCAGATGAAGCCCCCAAAAATCCGATTTGATAACCTGGCACACACCATCTCCATCAAAACGCGTGCCAGTGGTCTAGTGGTAGAATGCTATTGGGGAAGTGCTGTTGGGGAAGTGCTACCACGCCTCCTTTCACGCTGCATCACTCTCCTTTTCAAGCAGCAGATGCGAGAGACATTCCTTCCTCACCTTCAATTTGGCGTAGCAGTTCCGGCCGGGATCGAGATTATGTCGCACGCAGTGTGCTCCGCCTTCTCCCTTCATCCAGACTGGGTGGTGCTTCAGCTGGACGTTGCAAACGCGTTCAACTCATTCAACCGGGTTTCCATGTTTGAGGCATTAAGGCGCTCCCCATTCTCTAGTCTCATTCCATTCTTCCGCCTATTCTACTCCACCCCTTCACCTCTCCACTACCGCAGCGGCCCCCTTCTCCACACATTCCAGTCAGCTTCTGGTGTTCGTCAAGGCGACCCTTGTGGCCCTTTCCTTTACGCCCTAACACAGCAGCTAGCCATCCAACCAACCCAGCAGCAGTCTCCCTCAATTTTCGTTACCTCATACGCAGACGATACCTACTTGGTCGGCCCTCCCTCAGACGTCTTTTCCGCATACACTGACCTTACCTCCCGCCTTCTCTCTCTTAGCCTTACTGTCCAACCCTCTAAGTGCTCTCTATGGGCCCCTATGGACTTGCCCGAACACTGCATTCCGCCCCCGGGTATTTCCATCGCTGCAAACGGTCTCACTGTGGCTGGAGTTCCCACCGGCTCAGACGGTTTCATCATCTCTACTGTTCGTGACAAGCTCGATTCTTTCACTACCTCCCTCCCTTTACTGCATCAACTGCAGGACCCACAGATTGCCTCACGGATCCTTTCCTTATGCATCACTGCCCAACCTTCTTTCCTCCTCAGAACTGTCGCACCTTTTCCCGAAATCCAAGAGCTACTCTCTTCATGGGACAGCACCATTTTCAGCCACTTCTCTCAGCTCCTGGGCTCCGAGTACTGGAATCCCACCTCTGAACAGTCCACATTGGCCCGCCTCCAAGCCTCGCTCCCTATCCGCTTAGGTGGCTTCGGCATTCGCAGCTCTGCATCCATCGCCCCCCTCGGTTACCTTTGCAGCTGGGCGCAGGCAGTTTCGACCCTATCCACCCACTTCATCACTGATGGTGCTCCTCTGTTCCGCCCTTACGTCACCACAGACTCCATTAACCTCCTCGACCCTTCAATCTCATCTACCAAGGCATTCGTGATCGCTTCCCATCATGACCATGCTTCCCCAAGACATTCGTGATCGCTTCCCATCATGGCCTGTGCTTCAATCGGGCTACCCTCCTAAACTCTTTACTCACCTCTCCCAACACCTCGAAGCCGATTTGCTGGAGAAGGTTCGAGCCACAGTAACGTCCCCGCTTTGCCTTGCTCGTCTAACCTCTTTGCAGGGCCCGCATGCAGGTGACTGGCTCACTGTGGCTCCATCCTCCCCGCACATGCAGTTTTCAGAGATCGAGTGGCGCATTGCCGCAGCTATCCGCTTAGGCCTTCCTCTTCCTCACCTTTCATCTTCACTCACCTGCACCTGCAACTCCCCGTTCACCGATCCTTCCATCCATTCTCATGTCCTTCGCTGCCCTAGCAACAACGAGCCTACTAAGGTGCACGACGCAATCAAACGAGAAGTTCATCGCATTGCCTTGGAGCTTGGGTTCTTTGCACAGATGGAAGACCAACATCTCCTGCCTGGCCGCCGCACAGACATCACGTGCCGCGACATTAGCTCTGGTACCACCTGGGCCTTGGATGTTTCTGTTGCTGATCCACAAAAGGGGTTTCCGCACTCCTACGCAGCTACGGTGATTGGTTCAGCAGCAGCCACTCGTGAAAGTGAGAAGACCACCCACTATGCTGCAGCGCTTCGTGACCGTCCAGACGTCAAACTGTTTCCCCTTGTCATCGAAACCTTCGGTTGCTTCGGCTCTTCGTTCAACAACTTCCTTCGCCAATGCAGCCGCAAAGGGGCTTCACAACTCCGCGACTTGAGTGGTGCCACAGATTCTCTTCCCCAGCTGTTTGAGACCAACTTCTACAAACGGATTTCTCTGGTCCATCAACGTGAGCAGGCTCGCACTGTTTGTCGTCGTGCACAAATTCGCTTTTCCGAGGGCGTCAACCACGCACCACCCGAGGTAACTTCTCTTTCAGCAGCTGACTTTGCCTACTTGGGAGAGGACCATTAAGACATCACAGAGGCCTATTTGTAGGCCTCACAATAGGACTAACTTGCATGTCTTTCCTTACACTAGGTCTCTGGATTTGCCTTGTATCCATTGTGCATCTACTATAGTGTCAATAAAGAGGTAGTATAGCACCCTGCCATGAGCCCAGTGCAGACCTGGGTTCGATTCCCGGCTGGCACAAGCGGTGTTTGCAGTTTGTGAGTGGTTCTTGTTTTCCAGACCAGAATTCGAGCTGTAACTCCAAACCTGCTGAACTTTTTCCCATCACCTTTTCCATTTCCGCCACGCGTTTCACCTTCCTCCCCATCCCCTCAATCAGCAGTGACCATCTCCTCTCTCCACCAGCCCATATACCAGAGCTGCTTCAAGTCAACCTCCGTTGACTTACACACAAGAGTGGAACCTCATCATCCTCTTCCCCAACTGCCACCCTCATCATCCTCTTCCCCCACTGCCACCCTCATCATCCTCTTCCCCCAGTGCCACCCTCATCATCCTCTTCCCCCACTGCCACCCTCATCATCCTCTCCCACTCCTCCACCAGCTCATACACCAGACTCACCCGGTCGTCCTCAATGCAGTACCCCAGCAGCTTCTTTTGGTTGGGGTGGTTCAGATTGCCCAGCACTAGGATCTCCGCCTGTGGTGGGAGGAGAGGGAGAGGAGTGAGTGGGTATGTGCAGTGAGGGGGGAAAGGAGGGTGCGAGAGAGGAGCACAGTGGCGCAGACTTCCGTGCCGTACCCAAGCAGCCACACCAGGTTGGGGTGACTCAGATTGCCAGATACTAGGATAGGATCTCTGCCTGTGAGACAGTAGATGCACAATGTGCAAGGAAGAAAGGAGAGAGAGGAGGCCGTGGGTGCCACACTTACCAATAGTATTGTAACCAACCTTATATTCAATAAAAGGTTGAAAATAATAGGAAACGTTAAGACGTCTCAGAAGTTGCAACTAGTCCCGAGCATGCGGCCCGACTTAATCCGACCAGATCCGATTTCGACGGGCCAAGCGGGTACCGGGTCGGGTCTGGTCGGGTCAGGTCGGGTCCATCCGGAGCAGGCAGGCAGCCTGGCAGTCATCAAACGCCTTCAGGCTTTCCGTGTGAAGCACCTCACCACCACCTCTCTCCTGCTGCCACGTACCATCTCTCCCAGCCACTCATCCACGTATCCGCAAAAAACAGTTCTGAAGCTGCCCTTGCTCAGCTTCAACGCAAAAGACGCATTGAAGTACCCTGCTGCTGGCTGCTGCAGCTCGCGGTACGACAAGCGGCACACAGGAGGGCCCTTGCCCAGCTGCAGAGAGGTTAAGGGGGTAGGCAAGGCACGTGAAGAGAGGGAGAGAAGGGGGGGGGAGAGTAAGTAGCTTGTGGACAGCTCTCCCAGCCACTCGTCCACCCGTCCGCGAAAAAGGGTTCTGAAGCTGCCCTTGATGCTTCTCAAGGCGGACAAAGGCGCAACGGAGGGAGCCATCATGCAGGAGTAACACGCACCATGCATTGCAACTGTTGCGGTCTCGACACATGTCGCCAATAAGCAACACCTATCGCACCATGCACACGTCTTACTGTACCCTACCCACCACATCAAACTCCTCGCCCTTACACCCCCCCTGCCTCCGGCCCATCAATGTGAAACACCATGGATGGAAGCTGCTGAGACGCACAACAAGTTTCCTTGCTGTTGCAGGTTGTTTTTGAGAATTCTCACGAGCAACCTGCAACACTGCCACACAGTACTCCTTGCGTGCCCGCACTGCCTCCGCACCGTTGCAAGCAAGTTCAAGCACGTGCATACCCCTTGCCCTCGCTCGCTCGCACACGCACTGTGTGCCTTTGCCTCTGTTCCAAGAAGCAAAATCAAACTCGTGCGAACTGGCTTTAACGAGGAGGTGTAAAGCACAAGCCACAAGCCACACTCCTCTCTTCCTTCACCTCCTACTGCTTCCTCTTCTCCCTTGTACCCTCTTCTGCTTCCTCCCCTTTGGCTTGCCCCTCACGAAACCCTCCACTCTATTGCCTTTCTCGGTATCCCTTTCTTTGGAGCAAGTTCTCACCGAGAGTGCAACTCCTCGACTCCGTATCCCGAACTCACGCTCTTGCAGCTAGCACAAGACAGGTGCTGTTGGCGTGGGAAGGGGAAGTGAGTGGGGGGAGAGTGGGTGGGTGGGGGGAAGGGCAAGAGTAGGAACGCACAGCCGCATGAGGAGGGGGAGCGAAAAAGAGCTGATGATTTTGCACTTGGAGAAGTCCTGCTAGCACTCATATTTCCACTAGAAAATTCGCGTCAAAGGCAACATAGTGGGAGCAAAGGACAGACGGACGACCAGCAAAATGGATGAATGAAGTACGAGAGATAGCGTGAACATGTGATTCGGATTCCTGCACCTATTTGGCTTCTCTCACCTCCGTTTTGGCACGTTGCCCTGCCTGCCTTCAGCTGAAAAACCATTCGCACTCATGCCATGTGATGATGCCATGTGCGTGCAACTCTTACATATTTTTCCGTGCAACCTAAAGCCCCCTGCGTTCAGCATATGAGCAGCGTGCAGCTAATGCACTCGTACACGTAAGTCATATCACGTCTGCTGCTTCTCTCGTCACCCTCCATTTTCCCTCCTCGTCTGCAGGCACCCACTTCTCGCATAAACGTACTCTCATCTCATCACGGCTCTGCCATGCTGCCAGGCCGTATGTGGCAGCGACGTGTTGGGCGCCTCATGACTTGTTGAGTTGAATGAACAGGTGGGATGGATACCGTGTCAGGTGGGCTTAAGCAGCAGCAACCTCCACTGCTGTGAGCTGCTCACATGCAGGGAGACACAAGCAAGAAAAGGCACAAAGGTCTGTGAGTGAAGCGAGTGAAACAAGGCAGTGAAGCGAGTAAAAGTGGCAGTGAAGCGAGCAAAAAAAAGGCACATGGTTATTCGAGTGAAGCGAACAAAAAGAGGCGCAAGGGTATGTGAGTGAAGCTAGCAAAAGGGGCACAATGGTATGTGAGTGAAGCTAGCATTGAGGCAGTGAAACGAGCAAAAGTGGCAGTGAAACAAGGAAAAGGGGCAGAGAAACGAGAAAAAGAGGCAGTGAAGCGAGCAAAAGTGGCAGTGAAGCGAGCAAAAATAGGCACAAGGGTATGTGAGTGAAGCGAACAAAAGAGGGACAAGGGTATGTGAGTGAAGCTAGCAAATTCAGGCACAAGAGTCTGCAAATGAAACAAGCACAACAGGCCCCAACGGGCTGTGGGCCAAAGCCAAAGCGTGCGGTGAGCGTGGATTGAACACGCGACCTTCAGAACTTCAGTCTGACGCTCTCCCGACTGAGCTATCCCCGCAGATCTGGAGATGCGGGGTATCGATCCCCGTACCTCTCGCATGCTAAGCGAGCGCTCTACCATCTGAGCTACATCCCCGTTGAAGGCCTATTAGGGCCCTTCATCCACGAGGGCTTGAATTCCACGAGAGAGTACGAGAGGATGAAACTAGCATAGAAGAGGCTGGGAGAGTAAGAGGGGGGAGTAGGAGGGGAGGAGGGAGGGAGAGTAGAATGAGGAGGCAGCAGTGGCATTGCAGCCAGAAGCAGAGTGAGAGTGAATAGCCACTAGTCAATGCAATGTGACTAGTGCCCGAGGCTTGTGACAGAAAAGGGAGGTTGAAGCTTTGACCAAGCCAAAGACAAGCAGATGTCGGACCCCTCTTGCTGCTGTCTCTGTTGATTGGTGTTGTGGGTGGTGGGTGTTAGTGGTCACATTGGCACCTGCGGTGGTGGTGGTGCTGGTGCTGGTGCTTTTGCTACTTGTGCTGCTGTTGCTGTTGCTGCAAGTGCTTCTGCATCTGCTGATATATTCGTCTTCAATTCTCCATTGTCCTGAAACACAGGCAAGGGATCGGAGAGAAGTGGGCAGGAGGAGGATACCACGGAATGAAGTGAAAGCAGATCAAGGGGACGGAAAGCAATTGAAGGGAACTGAAAGCCTCTGACAGGAATTTGAAGAGAATGAGGGCAAAGCAGCTGAGCATAACGGAGCTAACGAGTGATGGGAGGGTTCAGGAACTGCATGGCAGAGCAGAAGCGCGTGGCGAGAGCAGCCCATGGCAGTGCGGCAGTGAGCTGAGGGATGCAAGTGGGGACTGGGGTAGAGAGGGACGCGAGCAAGGGATGAATACAAGCTAACTCGCTAGCCTCTAGATTCTAGATTCTAGAGGCTAGCCCTGCCATGGGCTGTCCTCTCCACGCGCCTCAACCCTCGCATCCAGGTCCTGAGCCCTCCCAAGCAAAGGTGCAATGGGTTATGAGAGTTGTTGTGATTGGAAAACGAAACGGAAGGGTGAAGAAGCAGTGGGATGCGAGAGTCACATAGTTTGTGATGGTAGGATTGCTAGGTTGAGAGCACTTAGCTTGTGACGCTGCAGCCTAGTCGTGCTGCAAGGTAACTGCCGCTTTACACACTGCGCTTACAATGCCCCTCTCTTCCTCTCCTCCTGAAGCTTGCTGCATCGTCCCCTTACCATCCCCTTTCCCTTACCCATCCCCTTACCCATCCCCTTACCCATCCCCTTACCCGAGAGTGACCAAAGAGAACACACGGCCACGGGGCTACCCAGCAGCCCCGCCCAGCTCCGCTTCACTTGCTCTGCTAGTGAGCGACAACGTAACCTGCCACCGCCACCCATGCACGTCCTTGACCCAGTCATCACCCGGCAGCACTGAGCCATCTCAGCCCTCCTCCTTCACCCCCTCTCCCTCCTCTCAAGAGCACTGCCAAGACGGTTCGGGAGAAGCAGGTGCGGAGCTGGGGGGTAAAGGGAAGTGGGGATCGGAGGATGCGTGGATGGGGAGGGGGGGGGGGGTGAGGTGAGGGAAGGAAAGGAAGGGCGAAACAGTCAGGTGCTGCGGAGCAACAGCAGTGAGGTGAGAGAAGCGTAGGGAGTGAGAGCTGTAGGGCACAAGTCAGCTAGGAGAAACAGGTGCAGAACTGGGGGAAGGAGGAGGACGGGGAGATGAAAAGGGGAGCAGAAGGGAAGGGGTGGTGGGGAACGACGCATTGCCATGGAGGGAATGTTAGAATGGGGGTTCGAGCATGCCAGCAGAAATAGAATAAAGAGATGCCTTGACATTCAGGACTCAAACAGTCGAAAAAGGGTCAGAGGTTCGGGAGATGCAGGTGCACGGCTGGGGGGTTAGGAGAAAGTGGGATGGGGGAAAGGGGGGGGAGAGGGGTAGGGGGTGCGAGGAAAAGGGGTTGAGGGAAGGAGGAGAAGATACAAGGAGGGATTGGGGGTAAGCTGGTGCTGGGTGATTGGTGGGTGGTTGCTGAGTGGTTGGTTGGTGGTTGGTTGGTGGGTGGTTGCTGCGTGGTTGGTTGGTGGGTGGTTGGTGGGTGGTTGCTGCGTTGTTGGTTGGTGGTTGGTTGGTGGTTGGTTGGTGGGTGGTTGCTGCGTGGTTGGTTGGTGGGTGGTTGGTGGGTGGTTGCTGCGTGGTTGGTTGGTGGTTGGTTGGTGGTTGGTTGGTGGGTGGTTGCTGAGTGGTTGGTTGGTGGTTGGTTGGTGGTTGGTTGGTGGGAGGTTGCTGAGTGGTTGGTTGGTGGTTGGTTGGTGGGTGGTTGCTGAGTGGTTGGTTGGTGGTTGGTTGGTGGTTGGTTGGTGGGTGGTTGCTGAGTGGTTGGTTGGTGGTTGGTTGGTGGTTGGTTGGTGGGTGGTTGCTGAGTGGTTGGTTGGTGGTTGGTTGGTGGTTGGTTGGTGGGTGGTTGCTGCGTGGTTGGTTGGTGGTTGGTTGGTGGGTGGTTGCTGAGTGGTTGGTTGGTGGTTGGTTGGTGGGTGGTTGCTGAGTGGTTGGTTGGTGGTTGGTTGGTGGGTGGTTGGTGGTTGGTTGGTGGGTGGTTGCTGCGTGGTTGGTTGGTGGGTGGTTGGTGGGTGGTTGCTGCGTGGTTGGTTGGTGGTTGGTTGGTGGTTGGTTGGTGGGTGGTTGCTGAGTGGTTGGTTGGTGGTTGGTTGGTGGGTGGTTGCTGCGTGGTTGGTTGGTGGTTGGTTGGTGGGTGGTTGCTGCGTGGTTGGTTGGTGGGTGGTTGGTGGGTGGTTGCTGCGTGGTTGGTTGGTGGTTGGTTGGTGGTTGGTTGGTGGGTGGTTGCTGAGTGGTTGGTTGGTGGTTGGTTGGTGGGTGGTTGCTGAGTGGTTGGTTGGTGGTTGGTTGGTGGGTGGTTGCTGCGTGGTTGGTTGGTGGTTGGTTGGTGGGTGGTTGCTGCGTGGTTGGTTGGTGGTTGGTTGGTGGTTGGTTGGTGGGTGGTTGCTGAGTGGTTGGTTGGTGGTTGGTTGGTGGGTGGTTGCTGCGTGGTTGGTTGGTGGGTGGTTGCTGCGTGGTTGGTTGGTGGGTGGTTGGTGGGTGGTTGCTGCGTGGTTGGTTGGTGGTTGGTTGGTGGTTGGTTGGTGGGTGGTTGCTGAGTGGTTGGTTGGTGGTTGGTTGGTGGGTGGTTGCTGAGTGGTTGGTTGGTGGTTGGTTGGTGGGTGGTTGCTGCGTGGTTGGTTGGTGGTTGGTTGGTGGGTGGTTGCTGAGTGGTTGGTTGGTGGTTGGTTGGTGGTTGGTTGGTGGGTGGTTGCTGAGTGGTTGGTTGGTGGTTGGTTGGTGGGTGGTTGCTGCGTGGTTGGTTGGTGGTTGGTTGGTGGGTGGTTGCTGCGTGGTTGGTTGGTGCGTACGAAGGAGAAAAGAGAGAGAAATGGAAACAACGAAGAGGGAAAGGGGGAGAATGGAGGGGAAAAGGAGGGAGAATGTCGAGGAAGGAGAACAGGCAGCGGGAGAGCAGGGGAGGGGAGGAGGATAGGGAGAGCATGGCATGCAGACGTGGTGCAGAGCAAATGTGCAGGCATGAGCGTGAGGAGGGGAGCGAGGGGGAGGGAGGAGGAAGGGGGGGCGATATCCACTTCACACCCCTCACGCCACGCTCTTGCGCTCACACTGCTGTTACGGACCAATGCGAGGTGACTCAGACTGGCGCACTCACTGTGCCAAGGCGCGTTCCGCGGACGGAGCTGGTGCGAAATTCGAGTGGCGCAGCACGACTGGTGGCTCGCGCGGGCGTGTCGCGGTGGCCAGAACAGAAGCGGCGCGACGATACGCGCGGCGGCGAAGCAGGCAGGGGTGGTTGGTAGGAGCAGGGCGGGGATCGGGTGAGGGTGTTTGCGTGCGGGGATGGCCCAGCCACCTCGCATCACTCCGTACCACCGTGCCACGCATCCCCGTCCCTACTATCCCTATCTCTCTCTGTCCCTACACTCCCCGTCCCTATTCTCTTCTCCCCGTCCCTATTTACTGTCGCCGTCCCTACCCTCCCCGTCCCTACTAACCCCGCCCCTAATCTCCCCGTCCCCACTCTCCCCGTCCCTACTCTCCCCGTCCCTACTCTCCCCGTCCCTACTAACCCCGCCCCTACTCTCCCCGTCCCTACTCTCCCCGTCCCTACTCTCCCCGTCCCTACTTCCGTCCTGCCTACTTTCCCCGTCCTTAATTCCCCCGTCCCTAGTTCCTCAGTCCCTATCTTCCTGGTCCGTACTTCCCCCCTCCCTATTTCCCCCGTCCCTACTTTCCCCGCCCCTATTTCCCCCGTCCCTACTTTCCCACCTCCTTCACAGGTAAGGTTGTGCGCGCGCGGGGATGGCCCACCCACCTCGCATCACTCCGTGCCACCGTCCCACACAGTGAAAGGGAAAGGGAGCGCATCCCTCCACCTGTGGTGGCGGCCGCCAACGGCGCTCGCGCGTGAATGCGAGCATCTCGCCCGCCTCTTCACCTCGTCCACCGCGCGAAAGGGATGGGCGGAGTGGAACGGGCGGAGTGGAAGAGATGGGCGCATCTCGCCCGCCTCGTCACTCGCGCACCCGCCGCTTCAGTTCCGCTCACGCGGCTGCAGGCGCCTGGCGGAAGGGCGGTGAGCGAATGCCAGGCGAGGCGAGCAGCACCGACGTGCATCGCGCGACGCAGCTGCCACCGTAATTTCGCACCAACCGTACTTCTCAACGAAACTGGCCCTAGTCTATCGCAACTCCTATCAAAAGAACACGTTACCTGCTGTTCCCCCCATGTCCTCTGCGATCCGCTGCTGTGCTCGCCAGAAGCGTGAAGTTTTACTCGCTAGGAGCGGGCTTAGTGAATATCGGGACATGGGAGTGCAATTACAAAGAGAGTGACGATACAGTTGAAATGAGCAGATGATATAGGGGAAACCCTAGCTAGGCGAGGACTTCGGGAAAACGAGGCTCGGAAGTGTGACGAATAGTTCGGGAGCGACTCGGGAGTGGTTTAGGGCGAGTTTGTACCCGAACCAGCTGACGGGAGCTTATCGGAGCACTTCTCGCTATTGATGAGAACAGTAAATTACTCCAATTCCTTGCAGATTTCAGGTACAGTTACAGTTACCATTTTCACTTGCAATTTTCTACTCAATAAACTACAATATAACATTGCCTTACCACAGCGCAGAATGGATATAAGATTCAGGAAAATCCTTGATATCCAATCATTCTTCCACAACATTGTGCGATCAACATAACCTGGGCCACAGTTTCGAATTTAGGGCAGTTATAAGGCGACGAGGGACGAGGGATGTGGCGACGTATAAGTAGATTTGGAGCAAATTGGAGAAACATTGCCACTGGGAGGGGTCAGTAAGAGAGCCAGGAAGGGCAGAGGGAAATGCGAGACAGGTGGTGAGAGAGAGAGGCAGTGAGTGATGGGAGGGAGGGGGTGATGAAGGGAGCGATGTTGTAGAGCGTCAGTCCCTGGTAATACCGTGTGGCTAACTTGGATAATAACATGGCAGGGCATTCGCAGAGCATGGGCATGCAGGGAGAGTTGGGGATCTTGTTAACACCCCCCCAGGGCATAGCCGTTAGAAACTTGCTTGTGAGTGTGACCCACCGGTGGGTCATAAGTGTCGAGAACACCAGCCGTCCTTGAGCCCCTCGCAGGTCAAACTCCAGGCTTTCACGACCAGAAAACACAGCTGAGTCACCTTATAGTCACCTGAAAATGACATGAGCAACCTGAGACTGACCTGAGAATCACCTGAGAACTACCTGAGAGTGACTTTAGAATGACTTGTGAGTCACCTGGAAATGACATAATCTGGCCTGCTAGCGGTGACCCACTGGTGACCCACCATTGTGAGCTGATGTGAACAGTACTTAAGAGTGACTGAAATGGTAAAGAGTGATGACTTGCACGAGAAGCTCAGAGCATCATGACATGAGCGACAAATAGGTATGTGATAGTTCCGGGGAAAAACAGCACAGCAACAAACAACTTTAGTTGATGTGAGATTGGAAGAAACCAGATCCCGTTATTCATCATCACAGTTCAAGAGAGATGAGGAGAGAGGAAGGGGGAAAGATAAGAGATCTGGGGGGAAAGGAGGGAGGAAGAGGGAATGTAGAACGCTATGAGCTCATGTCATGCTCATAGGGCAAGCATGAAACACTGAAACCGCCATGAGCTGATGCCCATGGCATGAGAGATTGAGAGGACGATGAGATGATGAAATCGGAATGAGACAGTGGACGTGACATTGGCTGATAAGACTGCAAAGAGAAGCTGAAAGCATGACGACATGAGCTGATGACGAATATGCCGGGAAATTGTGAAGGCATTCAGAGTCAATGAAACTGAGATGAAACACTTACCAAGCACCACATGATGATTGATAAGAGTGAACGAGCTTGAATCCTGAGTTTGCTAAGCATCAAAACTGGGAGGAGATGAGACTAGGTGGCAATATGATATAGAGTAAAAAGAGATGATGGGGAAGAAGATGCACACTGATCAGAACTTAAGGGAAGAGAATGCAGAATGATCAGAACTCAAAACCATAATCTCAGAAAGAAACGCACGCAAAGGGAACACACTGAGATTGGGACATGAACTCTTTCAATGGTGTGGAGTCGTGGAGAGTGGTGCATGGAGGGGGGAAGGCAGAGGAGAAGTCAATGAAGAAATCCAGGAAATTAAAGGGGAGTCAGAGGGGAGAAAGAAGAAATGGGTTGAAATCGTGTCCCAAGTCTCTGAATCCGTTGAGACTTTCTAAGCCGCTTGAAAATACCACATGACATGATGTCATCACAAAATGCTACCGTGGGTTTTCCTTGGATCACAGTCAGCTTCCCCCCCTACCATACAATTCCACCCACCATCCATTCACCCCTTCCATGCACCACTCCCCCTCAACACACAAGCACAGAAGCGCATCAACATCATAAAGATAAACATGGCATCAACGATTGCGCATTCCTAACCCACAGCACAATCTAGAACTATCTGCAACCTGCAAGTATTCAGGAGCCAAGCAGATGCACAGGGCAGCAACAGATTACACAGCTGGAATGAGCATTCACGTGCATCCGTGGAGCAGCAGTGGATTCAACAGAATGTCACCTCATGCCATGCAAGCAGATGCACGGTGGTGCAGCAGCGGATCACACAGTCAGCAGTGCATCATTCAGCGGTGCATCAGTGGTGGTGCATCAGTGGTGATGCAGCAGCGGATCCAAGGGCATGCTCTCCCCCCTTATGCCATGCTTCCACATTCCAGCTCACCACATTCCTCCACCTCTCCTCCCGTCTCTCCCACAACACAACACCCTGCAAGCAGGGTGGAAAAAGGGGCAAGTCCCTCCATGCAACTCCGTCTAGCCCCCAACAGCCATGCCAACTCAACCACCACTCACCTCCATTCCTAATGAACACACCCTGGATCTCATCTTTTGCTACTGCTGCTCCTACTGTTGCTTTGATTTTTGCACTCTGTCACTTGGCTGCTACCTTCCCTGGCTTGGGAATGCCACTGGCCGTCACTCCTGCTGCGGCTCTCCTTGGTGCCACACTGCTGGCAGGTCTGGGGATTCCACACACGCCAACAACACCCACCGACAGGCTGTGGGGAGCTGCTGTGGCTGCTGCTGCTGTTGCTGGGCTGCTTGCATCTGCAGCCTTCACAACCACCGCAGCGGTAGGACTTGCACGTGCCACCTTACCTGGTATCGCTGGTGTCGCCTTAGCAGGCGCCGCCTTAGCAGGCGTCGCCTTGCCTGGCGTCGCCTTGGCTGGCGTCACCGACTTATCAAATGTCGCCTTAGCAACTGTCGCCTTAGCAACTGTCGCCTTAGCAACTGTCGCCTTAGCATCTGTCGCCTTAGCAACTGTCGCCTTAGCAACTGTCGCCTTAGCAACTGTCGCCTTAGCAACTGTCGCCCTAGCAACTGTCGCCCTAGCAACTGTCGCCTTAGCAACTGTCGCCTTAGCAACTGTCGCCTTAGCAACTGTCGCCTTAGCAACTGTCGCCTTAGCAACTGTCGCCTTAGCAACTGTCGCCTTAGCAACTGTCGCCTTAGCAACTGTCGCCTTGGCTGGCGTCACCTTAGCAGGTGTCGCCTTAGCCGGCGTGACCTTAGCCGGCGTGACCTTAGCTGGCGTGACCTTAGCTGGCGTGACCTTAGGCGGTGTCGCCTTAGCTGGCGTCGCCTTTGCTGGCGTCGTCTTGGCTGGCGTGGCTTTGGCTGCTGCAGCTGCGACGGTGGCTTGACCGCTCTGCACCGCTCTGGGCTTCACAGCAGCAGCGGTACCCATCACATCCCTGGGCCTGGGCTTCTTGCTGGGCGGCTTAGCCACGGGCTTGGGTCGCAGAAGGGAGAAGCCGAGCGACGCACGGGGGGAGCGCAGAGCGCACTGCTCTTTCTCGTCGAAGCACCCCACGCGCCATGCAATCGCGCGCCGCCACATCTTCACGATGTCGTGGACATGACGCCACTGCTGCTGCTGCTGCTGCACAGCGCAGCGTTCGCGGCAGCAGATTCAACAAGAGACGGGGTGATCCGAGATACCATCGCACTGGGAGCGAGAGGCTAAGCGCACGAGCTGAACGGGAGGCAAAGCTAGGAGCTGAAGCTGATCGAGCTAGACGAGTCTGATAGTCGAAGAGAAGAAATTGCAACTGCTGTGGTGGTGTGAATGAAGAGGATGGGTGGGCTTTGTAGTGTTGGAGGGAAGCAACAAACCGAAACATGCGGTGGAAATGATCTGTTTTGGTTCGGAGCCGAACCTAAACAGCAGCAGCGACTTTTTCACCTTCGACCACGAGGATTCTGGGCAGCGAACTCGTGCTATTTCGCTGCCCGAAAACCAAATTCTAGTCGCTTTCCGCAAAGCTCGCCCGCTACTCGAGGAATAGAAAGAGGTTCGTCTACAAAAAAATGGATCTGCTTACGTAGCCTGCTGCCCGAACCGAGAAATCGAAACACCCTGAAACATGTGATGGGGATGATCTGCTTTGGTTCGGAGCCGAACCTACGGAGGCATAGAAAGCGGTTCGTCTACGAAAAAAGGAGTCTGCTTGCCGTCGTTAGATCAGCTCGAGGCGGCTCAGGGATGGTTTCAGTCCGTCTTGTTCTGTCATCGTCAACAACTGACTGGGAAACGCCGCTTCACAGCGGCAGTGTATGCGACTAAATCGGAGCCTATACTCGCGTCGCCATTTGACGTGAGACATCCCAGAAGCATCCCAGATCTGTTTTCCGGGAACTGGCTCTGACATGGCGAGCGAACGTGGGGATGGAAAATCGGCCAACTTCATACATACTCAAATTATTCCCGAGCGGGTTCTCAGGTGTAATCAGCCTGGACTCCCTCAACGTTGATTCGTCGTCGCTTTTTAATCACATTTCACGCTGGCCGAACTCTTTAGGAAGTGACAAAAACAGAAACATCCAGTTTACCCTCCCGAATTGGATATGTTAGATTAAAGTACGGAAATTTACGTAGGGCCGAAAAAAAAAATAAACCCTCTAGGGAACTTGGACGCATTTTCGGGAGGGATCAACCCTAAACACGGGAAAGGGCATTGTTTTTAGGGTTGATGCCTCCCGAGTCACATCCCTTTCTGATTGGGTTTTATTTTTGGGTCAGGTAGGGTGCATTATATTTTTCCAAAATATTGGGTGGCTTGTTGTTATATTTAGGGTTGAATCGTCCCGAAATTCATACAGGTCCGCTACAGGTTATATAGATTTTATTCAAGTGCTGTAATTGTTTTAGTGACTGTATCCGGAAAACAACCCGAATAGACTCATACTATATCGCGAAACTGTGTTTCTGTTGGTGATTACACCTGAGAACCCGCTCGGGAATACTTTGAGTATGTATGAAGTTGGCCGATGGAAAATGAAAGCTAGGGATGCGATACTTGCATATTCGTTAGATTTACTACAATGAATAGTCGTATGCTATATTTTGAAAGGATACGATTTAGCAGTAATATTCTGACCAGATATTTCCTCCCTTGCAATCACAGCTATATTCGACATCCAGTGGGCAGCCAAACGATCCTGCATTAGTTAATCCCTCAATATTCAGAATATTGAGTGGTTGGTTGTGGGTGACTTGTTGTGACTATCGTTATGCAAGAACTGAAACGTTATGCGTGCTCTCTTGTTCCCTGCTGCCACTCCCCACAAGCTGCAGCCTCGCCTTTTGCTTCCACTGCAGCACTGCCATCAGCACTGGGGGTCTGGCGACAGTGCTCGCGAGCTGTCCAGTCCAGTTGGAGTTCCCTAGCCAAGATGCAGCTCAAGGCATTTGAAGGTGCGCAACTGGTACTAAAATATTGTAAGCTGCTGGCATGAGATACCTGAAAGCACATGTGTCGCGGAAACTGACAGGGGATGTGAAGGTCGATGTAAGATGATGAAATTGGAGGCTCCTGAAAGCACATGTGCTGAAGAGATTAAACAGGGATCCTGAAATCATTGGAAGGTGATGAAAATGGTATGAGATACCAGAAGGCACATATGTCTGAGGAGAATGAGAAGGGTCCCGGAAATGTTATAAGTGAGATCGGCATGAGATACCTGGAATCATAACGATTTGTGCTGATGAAGTTAGATACTGATGGATCATGGGCTAATGCCGTTTGCATATGTGAAATAAAAATAACAAATACAGTTGCTGATCGTCAGATAATTAGGTCTGAGAGAGCGAGGGATGGGAGTGGGGAGAAATATGGATACGTATGAGAAGGGGGGGGAAAGAGAGGGGGGAGGGGAGGGAGGAGGACGCAAGAGGGGTTCTTGTCCAGAAGATTTGCAGACAAGCCAAGTTTGCATTATCCTAGATACTCTTAGAGCTTTTAGCACTCGAGAGGAAATGCTCCTCTCCCTCCACCTTCACCAACCCCACTCGCTCCTCACTCCCCCCAGCCCCTCTTCCTCCATCCTGCACCGTCCTCCCTCCCTCTGCACCACTCACCACCACCTTTCTTCTCAAACCACGAGGATCTACACAAGAATAATTCAGGCGATCCTTCCAGAATCGTGTGCGTCTCGTCTGAAGCTCCAGGTGCTGCCTCCTACGTTTTAGTAGGCTTTCCTGATCATTTAGGTGTTCGTTCTGCTGCTTCAGGTGCTCCTCCTGCTGCCTCAAGTGCTCTTTTTGTTGCCTCAGGTACTCTTTTTGTTGCCTCAGGTGTTCTTCCCTCTGCCTCAGGTGAATCTCCTCCTCCTTCAGAAGCATCTCCTTCAGCCTCAAGTGCTCCTCCTCTGTTGCTTTCATGTCTTTCCTCAACTTGCATCGGCGGCCCGTCCTCCCCACAAAACGATGAACCTTCGTGCTCAGGTATCTCTTTTGCTGCCTCAGGTGGCCTCTCCTGCAACCAACGCTCTCACCCTCAATCACTCCTCCAACACGCCTTTGAAGCAACTCTCTTCCACAAGCCTCACTCATTGCTGCACACTCATTGCTCCTCCACCGTTCTCGGATGCTTTGAGGCGCCTCAAACCAAGCCCCATCTTCCCCCACTTCCTCCTCCTTCACCACTGGACCATCCACGTCACACCCTTCCTCCTCCTCCACCTCCGTTTCACACTCATGTCCTCCCCCATTGCCCCCAGCAGCTCCCACCTCCCCCCTCCCTCCCCCAGTGCCCCCAGAAGCTTCCCCCTCCCCACTCCCCCCTCCATGCGCACTCCCCTCCGCTCCCCCCCAAGGCTGCCACCACCCCCCTCCATTCCCACACCCACCCCCAGCCCCCCTCTCCGCCCTCCCTCTTCCAACCACGGTGTCCTCCCCTTGAAACGGCAGCATCACTGCCTCTCCTATGCGGCCCTCCCCTCTGACAGGGAGGAATTGGGGTGCCCCTTCCTCTCCCCCCTTCCCTCCCCCATCATTTCCCCCCCTCTTAGCAGGGAGAAGATTGCGCACTAATCCCTGCTCTTCATCCCTCTCCTCCCCTCTCCTTTCTTCCTCCTCCCTCATAGGATATGTTCCCTCCTCCCCTCTACCTTCCCCAACCGTGCCAAAACCCCCTTGAAGTTGCCTCACTGCCCTTCCCACGCTGCCCTTCTCACGGCCATACCTTGGAGGAAAGAGATGAAGTCCCTCCTCTTCATCCCTCTCCTCCCCTCCCCTTTTCTCTTCGTCCCTCTCCTCCCCACTCCTTCCCTCTTTGCCCCTCACAGCACTCAATATCTTCTCACCTTCAAACCCCCCTTCCTGCCTAGGAGCCTCTTCGTTCCTCTCCTCCCCCTTACTTTTCTCTTTGCCCTCCCCCCTCGTTCCCACTTCGTCCCTCTTCCCCTTTTTCTTCACTCCTTCCCTCTCCTCCTCCCTCTTTCCCTCTTCCCCGCTAACGAAATCAGCCTTCTTCTCGTTTCCCTGCCTCTGCATCACTCCCCCATGCGCCCCTTTCCCCTTCTTACCCCGATGTGCACTGTTCACCCCGCCCCCACTCCCTCCCTCCCCACCGGACACACCTACCCCCTTCCCACTCCCCCCCTCCCCACAATGCAACTTTCTTGCATGTTGCAACTTCTTCCCACTCCGCTTGTGCCTGCAGTGATACGTCCTTACGTGTTTCATCATGTCGCCACGACGCTTGAAGGTCCGAGGGCACTGGGGATGAGAGCATGGGTGCTGGTGATTGGGGGGGGGGGGGGGGGGAGGTGGGGAAGAAAACAGGTAGAGGAGAAACAAGCTGCACCTAAAAGACTGCAATGATGCTAGTGGAGTTTGAGTTTTGAGACTTTTCAAGACGTGAGAGGCGAGTAGGCGGGAGTGGGAGGCGAGGAAGAGGAGGCTTGTGAAGCTTGTCCGTACCGTGGGGGAGGCGAGTAAGAAAAGACGGATGAAGAGGACAGAATGGGAGAGGAGGTTGCAATACGGAAAGGGGCGAGGGAAGAAGAGGAGAACGAGGAGGGAGTGTGAGGAGGGTAAGAGGAGGAAGGGATAGAGGGAAGGGGCAAGGAGGAAGCGGGAATAGGGAAAATGGGGAGAGGGAGAGGGGGGAGAGCGAGGGCAGCGCACCTGTGGAGCATTGGGGTTGTGAACGAGAAGGTGTCTCTTTAACTGGTAGTTGAATCCAAACGCCTTTTCACAATTGTCATGCGGACACACAAAATGCTGCAATGGAAGAGGAAATAAAGGATGGACGAAGTTTGCTGTGAACACCTATTCAACCGCACTGCTGCTTCCTCGCATGCCGCTTGTATGCTGCTTGTATGCTGCTTGTTGCTTGTATGCTGCTTCCATGCATGATACACGATGTCTTGTCAGCAGAGGAAGAAACATAGATACAAGGAAGTTGACTGTATTGCAGGAGAGGCGAGTTAGGGGGGATGGTTGAACGAGGAAGGAACGAGAGAAGAGAAAAGCAGGGACGAGAAAGGACGAAAATGGGAAAGAGAGAACGTGGAAATGGGGAGGGGGAAGAGGGAAGGGAAGTGGAGAAAAGAGGCTGGGAGAAAAAGGGGGAAAGGGGAGAGGGGAAAGGGGGGAGAGAGAAGCAGGGAGGGGCGAGAGGAGGAGAGGGAAGAGAGCTCACCTGGGAGGCGTCAGAGCTGTGAATGAGAAGGTGCCCTTTCAACAGGTAGCTGAATGCGAATGCCTTTTGGCAACCTTCATGTGGACACACAAACTGCAGTGGAAGAGGCACAAGGGGTGGCAAACCATGGCAGTGAAAGAGTTTGTACCTAATCTTCGACCGCACTGCTGCTTCCTTGCATCCACGAACACACGAGATGCAGTGAAGGGGCGATATTGGAGCGAGGGGACGAGAGGCGCAGCCGAGAACGGGTGGACTTTTGAGCCTTATAAGTGAGGGAGTGAGTGAGGCAGTGAGTGAGTGAGTGAGGGAAGCAAACCTGCTTTGAATGGATGGCCATGTGTTTCCTTAACCCTGACCGTGTAGCAAACGCCGCTCCACACTCCCACACATGTAGAACTTCTCACGTCCCCACTTCCCCCTCTCCTCATCCTCATCCCCCTCATCCTCATCCTCTCCCACCAAATCCACATAGTCTCTATCTTCTCCCCACACCCCTCCCCCCTCCCGTGCCTCTTTCTCCCCTGCATTTGACCCTCTAGCCCATCCCCTTCCGCCCTCTAATTCGTGTTCCTGGGAATACCGCGTTTCCGTGTCCCTCTCCTCCCCCTTCCTCCCTCCTTCCCTCTCCTCCCCCCTCTTTTTTTCTGCTTCCCTCGCTTCCTCCTTCCTTTCGTCATCCCCATAAACAAAATCACCATCAGCCTCCTTCTCGCCTCCATGCCTCCCCACCACTCCCTCATGCGCCTTCATCCCCTTCTCCCCCCCATGCTGTTTCCTTGCATGCTTAAACATGTCGCGTCGTCGCTTGAAGGTTTGTGCGCAGTAGGGATAAGAGCATGGGTGCTGGTGATTGGGGGCGATTGGGGGTGGAAAAGCGAACAGGTAGAGGAGAAGAAAGCTATCATCTCGGCGTTCGAAGTTTCGAGGGCAGTGGCGATGAGAGCAGGGGTGCTGGTAATTGCGGGGGTTGGGGAGAGGGAGGAAACAGATACACGAGAGAACAATGCACCAAATAGACCGCAATGGTACTTGCGAACTTGTCTGTACTGTCAGAGAGACGAGAGATGCAAGATGGAGGAACAGGGGAAGGATTGGGATGGGAGGTTGCAATATGGAAAGGAATGGACGTGGGAAGGAGAGGACGGGGAGGGAGTGAGAGGAGAGAAAGAGGACGAAGGAAAAGCGGCGAGGAGGCAAGGAGCAAGGGGGAATAGGGAAAAAGGGGGAAGGGGGAGAGGGATAGAGCGAGGGAAGCGTACTCGGGGAGTGTTGGGGTTGTGAGTGAGAATGTGCTCCTTTAACCGGTTTTTGAATGAGAATGCCTTTTGGCAATCGTCATGCGGACACACGAACTGCAGTGAGAGCAGCAGTAAGGGAGAGAGGGGAGGAAGGGAGGAAAGAAAAAAACAGGTACACTTTTAGGTCGACTAAAAAACGACGAGGGGATGAAGGAAAAAGGGTGAGTGTGAAGTATGTGAGAGAAAAGGAGAGGCGAGTGAGTGATTGAGCGAGATTGTGAGAGAGGAAAGCGAGCGAGCGAGTGAGTGAGCGAGTGAGTGAGGAAAGCACACCTGCTTCGAGTGGGTAGCCACGTGATAATTTAACTTCCGTGTAGGAAACGCTGTTCCACACTCCTCGCACTTGTAGGACTTCTCATGTCCCCACTTCCCCCTCTCCTCCTCCTCATCCTCCTCATCCTCATCCCCCTCATCCTCATCCTCTCCCACCAAATCCACATAGTCTCTATCTTCTCCCCACACCCCTCCCTCCTCCCGTGCCTCTTTCTCCCCTGCATGTGACCCTCTTGCCCATCCACTTTCGCGCTCTAACCCGCAAAAACCCACGTCGCTATTTTCCATGCGACCCTCCCCCATCCCACCACCACCACCGGCCAGCACTCTTCCCTCCCTCCCACCACACCATAAAACCGTCTTGCCTTCTCCCCCGCGGCATCCCCCTGTATCCGCTGCATCTCTCCCCTTTCTCCCTCCTCCCTGCCCAGCTTCACCCGCTGCTCTCTCGACCAGCGAAATCCCTTCCGCCCGCGCGCCTTCAACTGCAGTCTCCGCGCCATTCCCCCCCGCGAGAACAGGCAGAACGAGCAGACCGTGCGTGCGGGACGAGCGGAACCGGCGCAACTCCCCCGGCAGTCCGCCCCTGCGTGGGAACGGGCGGAAGCTCTGCGCCATTCATCTGCGCCAGACGAGGCGGAAGCTCTCGCGCGTCGCATCTTAGAGGCGGCGGGCCGCTCGGCGGATTTGCAAGTCCGAGAAGCACGCCAATACCCGTCGCGAGGCCGATAACATTTCGAGATTCCATGACGTAAGCGGGCAGGACTCACAATTCACCTCGCAGGACTAAGTAGAATAAGAATCACGCCGCTGCCAGTTGCAATGCTCATCGCATCTTGCAATTCCCCCCTGCCATGCGGATGAATGAATGTTACTTTTGGGCGTGACTCAATTATCCCGCGAGTATAACGTGCCGCGACAAAAAATTCCCGCGCGTAAAAAATCCCGCGAGTCATGAATCATAGCCCAGAATGACTAAATTCCGCCCTTTCTCTTACACCCCATTAGCAGACGTCAAACTTTTCAGCCGATCTGAAGCCACCGCTACCACCCTACTACTATACAGCTAAACTAGTCCCCCGCAAAGGGCGCGTCACCGACTGTGCACCGCGCAATGAAGCCCCGTTAAAGTCACACCTGCGCAACCTACTCCGAGTACCTAATTAGCCGTGTAGCAGATGTTCGTCCGCGCGGTGTACCCAGCCCCACCTTGTGAATGCTACACTGTACTGAATCCACTCGCGAGGGGCGAAATCTGCGTGGCGACCGAAAGGAGCACGGCTAATCGGGCTGAACCATTACGTCTTTCCTTGAAGCTCCCTATGCTCTGAGAACGTGGAATAGAGACGGTGGGGAGAGCATAGGAACGAGGACGAGAGAAACAGAGGGCTGAGCGCATCAACGGACTGAAGAGCATCGGCAAATAAAGGAATACGAGGGTAGGCGACGGCATGTGAGGCGAAGTAAATGGAATGACGGGTAACCTCAGGCCTGTTGCTAGGGTTTCACAGATCGAAAAGTCGTGAGGCGATGACGCGTAGGCATGAACACACTTAAATTTGAGCTCCGCGATGAGCGCCGGACACTCGTAATGATCTGAATTGCGCAGTGATTGTGAGCTTCACTCGAATGAATGAGAGCTTATGAATTGGAAATGAGGCAGAGGCCAAACGACGCAGGCTCTCACTGAGCGTCTCGCGGAAATGTCTAGAGGCGATCAGATGGAATCGCGAGACGAGGGAGGGATACTGCTGGATGACTCTGCTATGTGGATCAAGGCGCTATTGCTGAGCATCAAACACGCGTAATGCTACTCTGATCAGACTAAATTGGTGATGAGCATGCAAGGGATTGTGCTCGACATTGCAACAACTGCTGTCAAATGGTTCCCCAAATTGTACTCCGTTTCGCGAGGTTGATGCTGAGTAACCAGACTGCACGAAGGTGCTCTGCACAATTCAGGTTTACGAACTCGTCACGTAGGCGAAAATGAAAATGTCGAACGCTTTGGCAACTGTCACTGGCTACACGTTTCTTGTGTCTCTCAATGCGACAGTTGGGTGACACTGAGAACGCCCCAAGGTCTCGCAAATTGGACCACGACTCCCAAATTTCACGGAGCAGTTCGTTTGATTTGCAGACTAGGTGATTTGCGAACTGATGGATGGTAACTGGAAAGAAAAGTACTGGAATCCCTAGGTTCGCTTGGTTGTGTGTAAGATGCCCTTAGGACGCGGCACCTGTTTTCAAATTTCCACGATCGATCCTCGCGGGGATCGATGTGTCGGGTCTTCAGTATTTTGACTACATCGCCAAAGGTCTGGTATCCTTTGTCGCATATTTTCGTCTATGTACAGTAGATATGTCAGCAAAAAGGTGTCACCTGTGGCTCGCAAGATCGATGTGCCTGCGCCATCACATCGATCGTGTAATTGTGGGGATCGGGGCAATTTTGCCCCAGAAATTTGCGATGCTCGGTGTGTCCCGGCGATCGCAAAAGGCAATTGGGCACACCGGTGTGCCCATCGATCGTGGCAGGATCGATGTGAGGCTCCGATCCTCCTCCGATCGTGCAAATTTGAAAACAGGTGCCGCGTCCTTACTCGATTTTCGCTTGGCAATACGTTGTCGCTAATTTCCTCCACATTATCATCCCCGCTTTTCGCTAACTAACGTAGTCGCCACCACTAGGTCCTTTTTGTGAACAGCTAAATGCGCCTTGGCTGTAACGATGCCGCTACGCACAGCTCCGAGAATTCGCCATTTGCCACGTTCAGTTATTCGCCGAGCGAGATGATTTGGCCGCGGCCATTGGCGATCGACGGATTTATAAGAGCTAGCGGCCTAGGGTAAGCTCCAATAGGGAGCTTGATGGGTTCGAATGCGCGTCGCAGCGCCACTGAGACCCCATGCACTTGCAATTGACCGTGCACGCGCGTCGCCGCGTTTTCCCTAGTGAAACGTCGCAGCAACGAGCTGGGAGCAGCATAGGCCGGGAACCTCGATGCACTGCGTTTTCTCCCCACTGGCGCGAGATGGGTCAGAAGGGGGCGTGCGAAGGTGATGGCTGACAACGAGTCGGGCTGAGGACTGCGATGGAGAGATCTGAGACAAGCAAACGGTGAGATGAATGAAACGGACGGGATGGCATGCATGATGTTACATGATGATGCCTCCTTCGCCCTCGTTCATGCCCTTTCTTCCCCTGCCTGCCTCTCGCCCCCGTCAAGCCCCCAACTCTGTCGATCCACTTGAGAACATCATTGTTCCCATTTCAATCATCCCGTGCCTCTTGTGGCATCGCTCGTCCTCACCGTCTCCCATTTTCGCCCCCTGCTGTGGCGCTGCCATGCCAACTGTCTGGTAAGAAGCGCCTAGTTCCCAACGCACACGTGTCTCTTCCCCCATGAGTCCTGCTCCTCATCGTCCACCCTTGCCCTAGTCCGAATCCAACTGTACCTACTTCCACGAGTATAGACCTCTGCCTGTCTACTCTACTCTTTCCGGCTCGCGCCTCTACCTTGCGATCTGCTCCTCTTCAGCGGCTGATATCTGATGAGAAATCCAAAACGATTTACCTGCCCTCATCCACTCCCCATCCTCCCTTGTCCCCGTCACCTACCCTCCCTTTCTACCTCGCCTACTCCCTTCCTCCCTTTACTCGCTTCCTGTTTCTCACCCTCAACCCCCTCCTTTTCCTTCCCTTCACCCATCAACACTCTCCCCGTTCTCCGAGATTCCCTCGCCTCACTCAGAGCTGCTTCTCCTTCCGTCTTTCCTTGCTTCATCCGTCCCATCAACACCCCCTACCATCCTCTGCAGCCTAACTGCTCTCCTGCTCCCCTGGTAGGCAAGAGGGGGGTGTGGCCGCGAGCAGGGGGGAAGGGGGGTGTGGGATCATCTTGTTATACAGCATGAGATAACCCACCAGCTCCCGCACTGCACCCCAGCTGCGATCCTGCTCCTCTGGTGCTCCTCCAGCTTCCACGTCGGCCCTTTTTTAGTAGAACAAAAAATGCACTGCACCCCGCCTGCTCTCCTGCTCCTCCGCTAACCCTCCATTCTCCAGATTGGCCCTCCAGCGCGCCATGGCGGTGCGTCTCACCTGCACTCTCCCAAAAGTTTCAAGCAGGTGGGGGGTGTGGATCCAGTGCGAGGGGGGGAGTGGGCGAGAGCACAGACAGAGGTTTATTTTGGAGGCCCTCTAAAGCTGCCCTCCAGCACGCCATGCCTCTCGGGTGCGTCTCTCCTGCGCTCTCCCCAGGTTCAGCCGGATAAGGAGAGGTGTGGAAAAAAATGGGTGTGGGGAGGTGGGTGTGGTGTGGGGAGATGGGTGTGGGGAGATGGGTGTGGGAAGATGGGTGTGGGGAGATGGGTGTGGGGAGATGTGGGTATGGGGAGACATGGGTGTGGGGAGGGCAGGAGGTGGCGGAGAGAGGCGAGGTGGTGGTGGTTTGGACGTACAGGAAGCTAGGCGGGGAGCTCTGCATGTGCACTGTATGGGTGCATATGATGCATTCATGTTTACAATAGAGATGGACAATTTCTCACAGATGGCCCTTCCTTTGCCTCTACAGATGCATTTCTAGTACCAGGTACAGTGTTGTGGTCGTTGATTGTGTGGTGGAGCATATGTGACTATGAAGTAGCAATACAATGTTTCTGCCTTGTGTTCTTATCCCTTCCCCTCCCTCCTCTTCCCTCGCATCCTTCCTCCCTGTTTCCTGCTCTCACAATCAGCTAATGTGCGTTGGAGGTCACAGTGTGTGGTGGCCCCATGCGTTTCTCCATTGCTGTCTTTTCTCTCCCTTCCCGATCCCTTCATCCTTCTCGTCCTTCCTCCCCAGCCTTCTCGCTCTCACACTTTAGCTAATGCCGCCTTGGTATGAACAGTGTGTTTTTGTGCTCAAGCTTCCATAACTTGCTGCCTTGTTTTTGTACCCCTCCCCTTCCTGTGCATCCTTCCTTCCCACCCGTCCTCCCCCCTCGCTCAAGCAGCTCATGGGCGTTGGCGCGGGCAGTGAGTTGCCGAGGCAGGAAGAGCCGCAGGACAGCAAGCGACGCCGAGAGCATCTTTCTGGCGATAATGAGCCATGAGATCTCCGCCGTTGAATGGTGAATGGGTGGGGGATAGGTGGGTGCTATGCATGAATATGTATAGTATGGTGTGCATGGTGTATTCATGGTGAGTGCATGGTGTATTCATGGTGGGTGCATGGTGTATTCATGGTGGGTGCATGGTGTATTCATGGTGAGTGCATGGTGTTTGCACGGCGTTTGTGCGCACATGATACCTTTCATTCATCCACACACCGAGCACCAACCATTTCAACCTGTCTTCTGTTTCCCTTTCATTTCCCTCCCCTTCGACACCACTTTCAATTCCCTCCTTTCCCCCCGCTTTCCCTCCCCAACCAGGTGTGGCAGAGCTGTTGCTTGGTCCGCACGCCAGGGGGGCACTGTCCTCAGAATCAACGTGCCGGACCAGTCCAAGATTGAGCACCATTCACTGCCTCTAGAGGACGTGCCCATCTGCCGTGTTCTGCTTTAAGCCCGAATAAGTTCGCAACTCACTAAGAATATGTTAGAAGACTGATGGCCACTGGAGGGCATGCCCA